TGCATTTCCTGCACACGAAACTGGACGCTACGGCCCGCGCGACGCGGTCTACCTACCGGCAGCACCAAATGACGCATGCGCTGACGCGTGGTCGACTCATGGACCCGGCCACCCTTATGTACGTCGTCGTTGTTGCTTGTTCAAATGCACTACGCGGGATGCGGGATGATGCTATGGAGGATGTAGCGCAACCCACCGCGGCCTCGTGTCGGCCAATGCCTCGGTGGTCGAAGAAACGCAAGCGCTGCTGACCGACATGCTGCCGCTGCGACTCGACGAGCTCGGGCGACTCGAAATGACGAGCGTCGTGCTCGGCGACTACACGGACAAGATTGATCGGCAGACGCGGCATTTGGCCGACCAAGCCGCGGTACGCTCGTCTCTACAGACGGTATCGGATGGAGTTCTATGTTTGCTGTAGATCCTCGACACCTTGGAGCGGCAGTCGGCACGGCTTTTGTACCATCCGCATGTCCCAATTCGATTTGGCCAACGATGTCGTGTCTAGGCTGCTCTCCCACTTGCTCAAGTACGAAGAGACGCAGATGGCGGGTCTCGAGACGGGCCTTGGCGCCATGAAAGAGGCGCTGGTCGCCGAAATCGACGTCCTTCGGCGGCGCTTGGTACGCTCGGCTCTCGGTCATGCGCTTGGATTCAATGCGTGTAGCAACCGAGGCGGTACACCGAGGCCGCGACGCACGACACGTTGGTGCTGCTCCAGCACGCGCAAGCCATGCTTGGACTGCCCTCGACTACCGACTCGCTCGACGACCAGTGCCGCCAGCACGCGGCGCAGATGGACCAGCTCCATACCATCCGCGACACTGTCCGCGCCGAGTACCGCAACCACCTCGACGCGCAGTTGGAGGCGCTGCGGTTGCTCAAATCCGCTCGCGATGGCCTCGAGCTGCCCACGTACAGCAGCCTCGAAGCCCTCGAGAGTGCGAAAAACCAGATTACGGACGGCATTGCGCACGCGTCGAGCGTCTTTCAAGGCTATCAAAACATCGTGTTGCACCAAGCGGTCGCCACGCGACGACCACAACCCTAAGCACAAACACTCGAGATAGAAGATACCTCCTGCATCGATCTGCGTCTGCGAGCACACATCAAGAGACGTACTACATATATGGCGCGAGATTGCTGTTGGCATGAACGGGATGAAACGCCAACGGCGAGAAAGGCGGCGCCCCGAAATGACGTGGCGCCACGAGAGCGCAGCACGCAGTCCGACCAGGAAAAGCGCGGAATTTCGTCGACGCGCATCATCAGCCGCATCCTACAGCAGATCGCTCTGCGTTGTGGCGACGATCAAGCGCATGAAACCATGGCGGGCGAGTGGCTGCCGACGAATATCCCCGCTGCGATGGGTATGTATGGTATCCATCATGAAGCGCGACAGCGGGGCACGGCGAGAGGCCAGCGCTGTCCTCGAGTATATCGAATCGTAATAGTCGTGAATAGAACGATTGGCATCGACATGGACTTCTGCCTATTGACCCGGCGAGACGGGTGCGATCCCTCTGCCCTCACGGTACACGGTAGCACGGCGACACCACTGTTTGCTCCGTCTGATCTGTCCGGATACGGAGCATTTCCCGAATTCGTCGGCCGAGGATGCTTTGGCGTACGATGTGGGTTGCCTTGGCATGGGGCGTCGCCGCGGCGATGGCCGCAGACCGCGAGACGTGGACCAACTGGGACACGCGCCAGGTGTGCCACCCCGCAGCGCACGCGCGCCCGTCGAGCCTGCCCGAGCTGCAGGCGGTCGTGGCCCAATCCAGCCGCATCCGCGTCGCCGGCGCCGGGCACTCG